TATTCTATTCTATTCTATTCTATTCTATTCTATTCTATTCTATTCTATTCTACTCTCCCCTCTCCTCTTCTATTGTCTGAAAGAGCACCTTCTCTCTCTGGATCTATCTGGACCTGAAGGCCTTGCAATCAAGACCTTCTCCAGATCCATCCCATCCCCCAAATGGAGGAGGTGGGGCGGGTCCTCTCTAAGGGGGAGAGCTTTTCCTGTGGTGGCACCCCGTTTATGGCATCCTGGCACTTTCCCGTTACCATCCTTCTCGTCCCGGGTGAAGGCTTTTCTCTTCGCTATCCTGGACCTCTTAATCTTATTTTAATTGTCTTTGCATCCTGTGATTTTAGATTTAGACGACTGCCTTTCTGTCATCCCAGGCCTTTTAACGGGCTTAATTGTATTTTAATGACATTTTAATGTACGTTGTTTTAGTCTTTTGAATGACTGCCTTGCAGCTGTCTCATCTCCACCGAGCAACGTCTTTATTCTGCACTTTATTTGATTTTATGTGTTTAACTGCGTTTTTATTGTAAACTACCGAGAGATCTTTAGCTGTCAGGCAGTTTAAAAAAAAAATTTTTTTTTTTTAAACAAACAGAGAAATGAACCAATTTTATTTCCCCATCTCCCGAGATCATCACAGGTGGAACAGATCTGAAAGCTTGATCCCTTCAGGTGAAGTTCCCACATCTGCATTCGCACAATGTAGGTTGACCTGACTCTAGTTAAGCTGCCTTTTGCTGTCTGAATATGCGGTGCCCGTACAGCTCTCGAGTTGAGCTTCTGGTACAATCTGTTCTGGGTATATGCATATTTATTTATTTATTTGTTTACTTATTTATTTATTTATATAGATTTATTTATTTATTCTGTCGTGTTTATTCGTGTATGTTAGAGGTGTAGACCTTTTTCAGATATGCATGCAATGAAATTTCATCTCCATGAATGCCAATTAGTGTACATTCAAAGTGACCATAAAGTTATTCTACGTCTTCTAAGCGAGAATATGAAAAATGGCTCCATTCTATAAGTAGGTCAAGGCCGTTGATTTACTTATCCAGTTTTGATTACCACGATATATATATATATATATATTTTTTTTTTCTGAGGTTCTCGCGGGTATTTGTATGTGGATCTTTGGTTGTTCGGGTTTTCTCCCGCGTAAGATTCGAAGTATCTAGGCAATGTTTCGATGAAGTCTCATTCATCATCTTCAGGCTTCTGTCTCCGGCTCTGTGCTTCTCAGAGTGCTCTGAGACTATATATATAGGATTTGGCTCTGTGCTTCTCAGAGTGCTCTGAGACTATATATATAGGATTTGGGTTTGGTTAGTCTAGAGAAAAGGAGGACTAGGGGTGACATGATAGCGGTCTTCTAGTATTTGAGGGGCTGACCCAAAGAAGAGGTGGTCAAGCTCTTCTCCAAAGCCCCTGAAGAGGCAGGACAAGAAGCAACGGATGGAAACTCATCCAGGAGAGAAGCAACCTGGAATTAAGGAGAAATTTCCTAACAGTGAGGACAATTAACCTGTCAGAACTGCTGTCAGCTCCTTAACTTTTAAGAAGAGAAAGCACAGCCATTTGTCTGGAATAGGGGCGGGTCCCCTGCTTGGCCGGGGAGGGGGGGGTTGGACTAGACGATCTCCAGGGTCCCTCCTGTCATTCTATTACTCTGTGTCGTGTGAAGGTAGGAACCTTTTTCACATTTCCTTGATCCACCCGTTCCGTTCCTAAATGCATTCGCAATCCAGTTGGTTCGATTATGGGCCACCGAGTTGCTGTCAACTCTCAGGGTCCGCGCAGATTCGTCCCGTCACAATCTGTCCCTCGCCTGGTTTACAACAAATTAGCATTTGGTAACCACGTGGAAGATGCAGCCGGTTTAGGGTTTAAGGGCGAAGTTTACCCAAGGCTTGCCATGTTTTTCCACAAGGGGGAGCTCCGACACAGTTCTGAATGGGTCGTGCGCAGGTTGGGAGCTGAAAGTTCTATGTGTGTGTGTGTGTGTGTGTGTGTGTGTGTGTGTGTGTGTGTTGAGTGTGTCACTTGAGACTTTCAAAAAGAGACTGGACTGCCATTTGTCAGAAATGGCGTAGGGTCTCCCGCTTGGGCGGGTGGGGGAGGGCGGGTTGGACTAGATGACCTACAAGGTCCCTTCCAACTCTGATTATCCGTTATCTGTCTGCCGTTTTCCTCTCCTGCGTTCAGTCTTGATGGGTTGTGAGAACGCAGAGAGCATATAAGGGTGAAGGTAAAAGGTTCCCCTTGCACATCCGTGCGAGTTGTTTTGGGCTCTAGGGGGCTGTGCTCATCTCCGTCGCAAAGCCGAAGAAGAGCCCGCGCTGTCCGAAGACGCCTCCGTGGTCATGTGGCCGGCAGGACTAAACGCCTTCCAAAGGCGCGCAGAACGCTGTTCTCTTCCCCACCAAAGGGGTCCCTATTTTTCTACTCGCATTTTTGACCTGCTTTTGAACTGCCAGGTTTGGACGAATCACGCGGTGCTAGGGATTCGAACTGCCGAACTCCCGACCTCTCTGATCGACAAGCGTCTTAGCCCCTGAGCCACCTATCAGAAGAGCCACTAGGGGAGAGAGCAAAGATCATCTCTGGTGCCCTCTGGAGGTCATTTAGAGTATTGCAACCCAAACCAGACATTCAAGGTTTTTTTTCCCCCCAGAGACCTATAGATATTTCTAACTCCTGGGTATTTGAATTATAAGCGCTTCCAAACTCGCCACCTCTCAATATTAGAAGAAACTTGGTTATCTTCTTCTGGGGAAGTATCTAAAGTGTACAGTCACTTGTCTGAAATGGAACTTCGCCGAAGCCATCTTGGAGGCGTCAGGGTTGCCACACACAGCACTGGGGAGGGGTGCGGGGAAATAGTTTGACGGGGTTTTGGAGCCGAAACAATAAAGTTATTGTGTAGGAACCAAGGACATTCTCACCAGTGGCTGGCCAGAGGAGGAGCCGGTAACCCAGCAACCAGCCAGCACCAGGATTGGACAGTGTGACCAGTGACTTGGGGAAGGGAATTTTTTTTTACTTTTAAGTAGGTAAAAGCCATGGGAAAATCTCAGAGTCGGTTTACACCGCTTTGTGCCAATATGACGTATCCAATCTTGGCGGGACTGAAGTGCCTTGGGGTTTGTTTTCTACGGGGACAGCGCGTTCTCGGGGCTACCTGGGGACAAGAAAGCTCAAAGACCGGTGGGGGGGAGGGGGTTGTACTCCTTACCTGACACTCCCACTTGAGTTTCTGCTCCTTCTGGAAGGCCAGCGTGCTGGTCAGCACCGTCGATGTGTAGCAGAAGCAATGTTGGATTTTGTAGACATCCGCTTCCGTGTAGCTGCAGGAAACGGAGGAAAGCAAGAAAGAGGATTAGGGAACTGGAGGCTAAAATATACGAAGAACATTTGCAGGAATTGGGTACGTCTAGTTCGGGGGGGTCTTCAACCTTGGCAACCTTAAGACTTGTGGACTCCAACTCCCAGAATTCCTTAGCCAGCTTTGCGAATTCTGGGGGTTGAAGTCCACAAGTCTTAAAGTAACCCAGGTTGGAGACCCCTGACTTAGATGACCCTTCTGGTCTCTTCCAACTCTATCATTCCTGGCTGCCTAGGGAATTCTGGGAGTTGAAGTCCACAAGTCTTACAGTGGCCAAGGTGGGAGACCCCTGACTTAGATGACCCTTCCGGTCTCTTCCAACTCTATCATTCCTGATTGGCTGAGGAATTCTGGGAGTTGAAGTGCACAAGTCTTAAAATGGCCAAGGTTGGAGACCCCTGATTTAAATGACCCTTCTGGTCCCTTCCAACTCTATCATTCCTGGCTGCCTGGGGAATTCTGGGAGTTGATGTCCACCAGTCTTACAGTGGCCAAGGTGGGAGACCCCTGACTTAGATAACCTTTCCAGGTCTCTCCCAACTCTATCATTCCCAACTGGCTGAGGAATTCTGGGGGTTGAAGTGCACAAGTCTTAAAGTGGCCCAGATTGGAGACCCCTGACTTAGATGACCCTTCTGGTCTCTTCCAACTCTATCGTTCCTGGCTGCCTGGGGAATTCTGGGGGTTGAAGTGCACAAGTCTTAAAGTGGCCCAGATTGGAGACTCCTGACTTAGATGACCCTTCTAGTCTCTTCCAACTCTATCATTCCTGGCTGCCTGGGGAATTCTGGGAGTTGAAGTCCACAAGTCTTAAAGTTTCCAAGTTTGGGGACTTCTGAGTTAGGGTACCTGGCTAGAAAGCAGGAGGCTGTGAGTTCAAGCCCTGCCTGGCTTTGCTGGCTGGGGAATTCTGGGAGTTGAGTCCACAAGGGCCAGAGTCCCCTGGTCTAGTTGAATGAAAAGAAGGATTAAGGGTGACCTTGTAGCATTATTCGGGCATTTGAGGGGCTGCCACAGAGAGGAGGGCGGTCAACTTATTCTCCAAAGCCCCCCAAAGGGCAGGAGAAGAAGCAACGGATGGAAACCAAGCGAGGGGAGAAGCAACCGGGAATTCAGGAGGAATTTCCAAGAGTGAGAATCCTTGTCAGGGATAATGACTGGAACCGTAACAGATAATATGATGAACAGATCATGGGTGGTGCAGCTTCCCCTCCCAAGTTCTGGGTCTTCTACCGGGGGAGATTTTCAAGTAGAGGCTGTACCACCATTTGTCCGGAATGGAGTAAGGTCTCCCATTCGAGGAGGGGGTTGGACTAGAAGACCTCCAAGGTCCCTTCCAAGTTTGTTACTGTTATGCTCTTATCCTTCCTTCCTTTATCTGTTCCTCTTCTTCCTTCCTTCTCCTTTTCTCCTCCCTCCCTCCTCTACTTCCTTCCTTCTTGTCTCCTTCCTTCCTCCCTCCTCTACTTCCTTCCTTCCATCTCTTCTCCTTCTTTCTTTCCTTCCTCCCTCC